ACTTTTTAGTCTTTGGGAAGAGGGCTCATTTTCATTTCTGTCCTACTTCAGAAAGCACCCATGAATCCTCAGGCACCCACTACCAAGAGATCAGGCAACTATTTACAGCATCACAGACTGATCAAAACACCTCAAGTCATCTACGATCAAACCTCACTGATACCGATAGGTTCCAAAGCTTTAAAAGTTGTGCCCAGACAATAACTTCTCACACTGCCACCACCTCAAGACACACTATGTGTGTTTCCACAAGTCCAGCAAAAATCCCGCTCCAGTTGCCAGGAGGCAGTTGCCTATCGTCACGTCTCCAAGAGCTGGGATGGCTCCAGAGCCGCATCCCTCCCTGGGGACAACCCGAGTGCGGCCCAGCATCCTTCTCTGCAGGGACCACCTCTGCACAAGCGGACGCGTCACAGCTGCAAGACGAAGCAAGAGGGGAAATCTTCCAACTGCATCTTTTACGAAAGGCTGAAACTCTCTGATATAGAACCATGGAATGGTTTGGGTTGGAAGGGACCTTGAAGACCATCTCATCCCACCCCCCTGCCCTGGGCAGGGCCACCTCCCCCCAGCCCAGGTTGCTCCAAGCCCCGTCCAACCTGGCCTTGAACACCTCCAGGGATGGGGCAGCCACAGCTTCTCGGGGCCAGTGCCTCACCACCATTACACCACACGTAATATTCTACATATTAGATATGCACAAATAAAATGTAACCTTAAAATATGAACATACTTTGGAGAAAATGACAAGAAACAGGTTGACCACGCAAATAAAGCTTTGCTTTTCTAACTACCAAAATGCTTTATAAACCTCTCCTCCGCTTTCACTGCCCTGCGAGGCTGCCAGTATTTCACAAACGGGCCCACACCACGTGGATGCTTCGCAAATAGCCTCCTGTCCCTCCCACCAGCTGCTCAGCAGTGGCGAGTGGCGCATTGGGGGACAGCAAATTGCCAGAGGTTCCCAATATTTTAAGGGACATTATGCAAGACTGCTTGCATTAAGAGGCGCGACAGTGATCGAGTTGACAGCAAGCATATACACACGCCAAGGATCGGGCTACTTCCACTGCTGTTGGAGCTGATCCAGGAGTAGAAAATAGCTGTGAAATTCCTGTTGCAGATGTGGAGATGAAACTTCCCCAAGCTCTCAAAAAAAAAAAATTAAAAAAAAAATCCCCAAATACACTTCCAGCAAAAATCTGATCGGGGGTTTCCATTCCACTGCCTTTCCCAGGCCAAACTATTCTTTTGGACTTCACCATAAATTCTTTAAGAGCTTCAGCCCAAGCTCAAAATCTTACGAAATGCAGCTTCTTTGACAGCTTCCCAACTCATGGTAAAGGGTGATTTTATATCAGCGGTCACCATTCCTGGCAAACCCCGGTGGCCGCCGACTCAGGGAAGGCATACACAGCCACGTTCTTCCACCCGCTATGAAAATACCCTCTGGTGAGTTTAGCACAAGGCTGTACCAACAGTTTAACTCCTTCCTTGGCACCTTCCTCCTCTGAACTCTGAATAATCTGCTGCTGGTCACAAGATTTGCACTCCTAGCCCTGAGACGCATCTCATAAGCTTTTAAAACGAAGGCTCTGAAGTTAAATAGGTGATGCTGAAGCGGCTTTCACAGCATGCACGCAGGGGCTGCTTTTCCCACCTCTCCCCATAGCCTCTACCCGCGCCCCCTGCTTGATGGGCAACAGGGTTCCCGCAAAACCACCACGCTGTTCCAGCCACTACCAAGAGACAGTCGAAAATACTGTCAACCCAGAATGACAGAAGAAAAACAACAACGCTAAAGCCAAGCCAACAGTCTGCTTTCAAGGATGAAACAACATGCCAGGTTGCAGCTGAACTGGAACAGAGAAAATCAGACCGGTCCAGCCCTTTCGGGTTAGTCTTCCCTCCCTGAAACGACAGCCTAAATAAGGCAGTCAAAAACTGATTGCAAGAATCCGATTTAGAAGTACAGCTTAACAATTCCTGCAGGCCACAAGATTTTTGCTACATCCCAAGGCATCATTCTTCTCCAGTTTCTTCCTTTTCCACTTAAGACAGATTTCAGCTTGTTTTTGCAGACCTGAAAGAAGCAGCGCCTTTTAAATCCAGTGACTAACATCCTTCCTTCCGATCTCTGCCAAACCTCATCTCTGCCAGATCTGAAGTGTCTTCGGCCTTGTTTTCAGCTAAACTAGGTTGTATATTCTTCAAGACAAGCACTCCAGAGTTCATTTGCTGAAAGCGTGATGTTGCCGTGTTGCTGGTATGAAGCACTATAGTTTAGCTTTATAGGGTTTTTTTAATAGTTTCTTTCTGTTAGCCAATGTATTTCCATTTGTATTTTTCCATCAGAAGTTCCTTCCTAGATATTAAAGAACAGAACAAAGAGGCAACAAACTCAATGCTCACTGCTGCCATTTCAGCCAGGCAGTTTAAGGCAGACCCTGGAGAAAATTACCAGAAGAACAGCTGAGAAAAAATAGGGTGAGTGGTTTGGGGTTTTTTTTGGTTGTTTCCTGTAAAGAAATTAAACAATTTTTCGACCACTGCAAAGTCAAGCGCAGCACAGAAACAGCCTCTGTGGCTTTTCTTTTGGAAGATGACAATGGTTTTCTGATGCTGGTTAAGCATGGGCGAGAATACATTTGCCCATCATAAACGCACTGTGCACACAAACTGGGAACAGCAGCACCATTTGCCACCAGCGACTAGACTGGGAGCCGCACAGCTACGGGCTCCTTATAGGAAAGAGGAAAACTTGGTGTTTACAAGGGGAAAAAAAATAAAAATCAAGATAATGAGCAATGAGGATGCCTTGTTAAGAGAGGGTCAGGAAATGGAAGAAGCAGAATACATAGAGGTATCCAGACTCCAAAGTACCACACAGCCCTTCTACCTATGTCAAGAAGATAAGTGCTTTATCTGTTAATCCAGATCATTAAACAATGTTCCTTACAAGAAACACGGCGAGCCATTTTTTTTTTCCTCACTTTTTAACACTCCAGTTTATCTGTGCCACATTATTTCAACCTGAAACACGGGCTCAAAACCGTAAGTTCGAGCAAAGTGCATACAGCTTTCCAGATTCCTTCCACGCATCCGTATGCATTTGCGGCCCTGCTGAGCACTCCTGTTGTGCAGGGGCTCATCCGTGGCACGGACCAGCCATGCTGTCAGGAAGGCAGGTGTTGCCTGGGGGGTTCATGGTCTCTACCCAGAAAAGGCAAGGCTCGACGCCAGCCTAACCCCTCCTGCCTGTCCTGGTTGCACACCAAAGCAAAGCGTGCCGTTCGCAGCTGATGGCTGGATTTGTTCAACGCGTGTTCCACCCACATCCAGCGTGGCTCTTTGTCTTACGGTGAGTTCTCTCCGTTAAGATTCTCCTTAACGCAGCGGTGGAGTGTTTACTCTAAGCAAGCAATGTTCATTCCGTGCTCCATTTGGGACGCAGAGCTGCACGCACTTAGATGGAGTAATGTCGCTCCTTTTCTTCATCTCTTCACTCACACGCCCTGTAAGGACGGCTCATCTTCCTTCCTTCTTATGAAGGCTCATGGTCAGTTCACTATAAGGTTTCTTCCCCTCCAATATTCTGATCCAAATTAAATTTATTCAGGTCCAGGGAAAATTCTCACTGCTTGGACTTGAATGGACTGCTTTATCATTTCTGTGCATTTTCTGAGGTATAATATTCCAAACAAGCGAATGAAAGTCATCAGCTTCCTGTAGTTAATTTGACAGCCAACTGCATCACATCAAAAGAACAGGTTTACATACTAACAAGGTCACTAGTTAAAAACTCAGCCCCTGCTCAGAGCCATTATGATCAAGCGAGTGTCTGGAACCCGGAAAGAAAATTAAATAACCATCAACTAGATAGAAGAGAGCTGTCTCCTCTTACCACCTACTGCTTCAAAAATAGCATATTACATGCAACTTGATGCATGCAACCAGGCCCTTCTAAACCAAGGTATGCACAGTATATCTGACCTTCTGTAAATAAATTCCCTTTGAACAGTCCAACATTAGGCATGGGAGGTCTATCAAGGTGACGTACAGCTTCTATGTAATGATTTTGAAGGAGTGAATCCCTCCTTTGTATCATTCCAGGGTATTTCTGTGGGTTTTTTAAGAAAATGTTCAACTGTACAGATGAATAAAAGTTACATCTAAGAGAAGAATTAGAACACACTTCTAGTAATGCCTTTCGCCATGTCACTTCATTCATATAACACTGTGACAGAGACCTGCTGTTGCTGGGTTTTATCTCCTTCTTGAATTTCACCGGTGTAATTCCAATGGTCAAACTGCATCTTCCAGAGAGACAAGGCCACTGCTTCAGAGCAGGTGGAAAAGCTGTCTCACAGGCTGGCTAGGACTAAAAATACCAGTAGGAACGGAGCAGTACAGGCTCACCAGCTAAAATCTGTTTTCCTGCCTCTCATGCACTGGTTAGTCAGCCGGCACCCCTCAGATATTTGCAGTACAAAGTAAAGAGCAAGTTAACACAAACACAACTGCAACCTGTCTTTAAAAGAAAGCTGTTAGAGGATCAGAGGATGTTACGTGTGAACAACTGACAATACACAATCATCAGAAGAGCTGCTCGCTACCGACGCGTTTTGGTACTGCTTTAAAGGAAAAAAAATAACTACGTGCAGGTGCTTCGGTCTTCTTTGTATGTTTTGCGATATATAAAATTACCTTTGGACAAAATAGTAAGAGGAACGGAGGAGAGGATACCAGCTCAGGTAACAAAGGGTTTGGTAAATTGGAACTTCGTGCCTTTGATGCCGAGTAAAAATGTGCACCCCGTGCAGGCTGAGCTGCGTGACGGGGCCGGTGCTCCAGGGTACAAACGCATTCCGCAACTACAACCACAAGCTGATCAGGTTCAGCTGCAGTATAGCTACACTGCTCACTGGTTTTACAAAAATATTAGCAGTCTGTTGGTAACAGACAATCGGAGGAACTCAGTGCTGCCCGCTACAGACTCCTCAGATTAGCGCTTATTAAAAATTAATAAAATGGTTTATTTTATATATACATATGTTCCAAAAAATTTATACAGTTAAAATATCAAATTAGTGATCTGGTAACAATACTGTTCAAAATAATCTCTTTTGTATGAACATTAAAATACACGTTTTTAAAAGCGTTTCCTTTTAGTGCTTCCAAAGCACAGCGTGTGCCAAGGCCACCTGAAGAATCTCCGTCCTCCTCACAGGATGAAAGAGAACTGAAGTCGGGGACCTGGGAAGCCTCAGGTGCACTTTCATAATGTCTGCAGACAAAACAGAAGAGAGTCTGAGGTAGATTGTTTAGTGACCATCAGGTGGTAACAGTCACAGGGCTGTCTTTAGCTTTCATTAACACAATAGCAGTTTCTTTACTCTCAATCTACACTGAATCTCAAGTTTAAAGGCATGGCTAGCAGTTCTTGGGAACAAGACCCTTGTCTCTGTGGTGGCAACATGCAATTTTACCAGTGCAGGTGTTTCTGGGAAGGTTTTTTTTTTTTTTTTTGGGAACACACGGGCTCTCTCCACGATGCAGACAGTGTGTGCATTTGACAGTGCCCCATTTTAGTGCAACCTGCTGCCTATAGCACGTAAATGTCTAATGACAGCGTTCAAACGAGTAAATTCTCATCACCTGCAGGAGGGGCAGCAATGGTTATTTTCTTCAGCCTGTTGAGCAAATAGCACCCTCCACAGGAAAAAAGCCACACCTTTCATAGCAAATCCTTAAGGTTATAGCCCAGCTTCTGCCGATAGAGGTTCTTAAAGTTAAAGCTCCACTGCTTCTTCTCAGACTGTGACAGTAAAATCACTTGACTGCCAAGATGGTGAGGGCAGCAGCTACGTCCTCTTCCACTCTTCTGCGGCACAGCAAACTCATTCCTGGTCCGTATCCGTCTGGCCGGTACATTATTATCTACTGTTGACATGATTAACTCTGTTGGGGAGGCTGTTGAACTCTAGTTCCTCTAGTATTCTCTCTAAGTGTTGTATTAAGACCCGTTTTTTAAACCTAAGGAAGAGAGGGAGAGCAATTTAAAGGTTCTTTTCTTCCAACAATGCAGTTGAACAACTCACGACTATTCAGCGACGACAAATCATATTACCAGAGGCTCTCTCTTTCCAGTACGGAAGAGCTTGCTTTATTTCTGGCATTTGAATGGCCAGAAAATTTAATTTAATATAGCCGCCCTTCCCCAACCCACCCAAATTTTGGGTCAGTCTTCAATAATGACCTATCTCTCTATTTTACATTTTAACTTTATATAAAGACCACTTACTCCATAAAAATATAATGGTGTTTTGACCACTAAAACAACTATAATAGTTGAAATATGCAAAAAGGAAAACAGAAAATACTAGTACTGGAAATATTTATGATTTACTATCATGATCTAAATTAACAATTTATGCCTCCAAGTCATTTATATCTATACAAACCTTGCTGCTTCCTTGATAGCAAATTCAATGAAATACTTCTGAATTTCCATAGGTCCTTGCACCTCCTCAAGAAGAGTGAAAATTTTTTCATAATCTAAAAAAAAAGATTAAAATCCAACCATATATTAAAACTAAATCTTGCAAATGCATTCTCAATAAAGTTTAACAGCCAAAAGAAAAAGTGAAATCCCAGAGTTTCACGTGTCTGCGTATGGCAATACATGTAAGGCAAGAAAAAAGCCTGAATTCACTTTATGCACAGAATGCAGGTGATACCAATAATTCTAAGTGATACCGATGATCTGGTATTCAAATGTGGCACCAAAAAAATTAGGTTCTTTTTTAAGAGCAGCAGCTAGAAACAGCTGTCCTTAGAAAATGCAGGCTAGGTAGAGAAGCCTCATACCTCCACGAACACAGTGCCATCATTAGGGCTTAATATGCACGCAGGGGCACCAAGCCCTGTTTTAACCCAGAGCTGTCATTTCTGAAAGCGGAGGTTAGGATCAGTTCTCTTAGGAAGACAAATTATTAGTGTGAGCACGATTGATATGACTGCCTTACTGGTACAAAGTAAATATATCTCCTGCAAAAGAATGAACTGGACGCATTAAATTCGAAACAAAAAATAGCATTGTTTCAATATTTTATGTAGTTGAACCCAGTATGGAGGTATTTATGGTGCTGTGACTAAGAGCCTGCTCAGAGCGATGCAGCAGGCACAGACAGGATATATGGTCAGAACTATGAATATATGTACATATTTAACCTGCTACTATTTAGCCTCTTTCTTTGATGACTGCCTGAACTCTGCAGCAAGGCAGTTGACTCATACTGAACACAGCACTATTTTACTCTACATCACCGTTTACCAGACATGAATTTGGTATTACATCAGATGAGCCCACTTGGCAATACAGGAAGCAAAGTTAGGAAGTTTGAAAACATCTTAAAAACGAAGTACAGATGCAGCATAAAAATGGCTTCATCTCTAAGAGCCTCAGTCTGTCACAAAGATTATGCGCCTCAATAAATATTAAGTTTTGGGAAAGCAACGCAAGATCAGAAAAACAGAAGAGTTGAGACTACTCCATTATACTAATTACTGGCACTTGACAATGTATTAGAAAAAGATTCTGTCGTTTAATTTGTAGAAATGATTCATTCAGACACAGACCACATTAGGGACATCTGTCATGCAAGAAAAAATGGCAAAATTATGCCTATGGCAAATCCTACAGCATATACACTTGTTGCAGTTTCAGGTTAGCGTTTCGGTTTTGATCCCGTATACAAGTACAGGCAGAACACGAAACAAAAGCTGAGGAGGCAAATTACTTTTCCTCACAACGTTTTAGATTTTGGGGAGGGTATCAAACCTTACAGGAAAGAGAAGGTGGTAATTTTTAATACTCAGTCCCTAAAGAATTTGTTTACAATGTTCTATCACTAATTACATTATCTCACAAAATGAAAAAATATCACTTCGCTATTAACTGTTAAGACTCACTTTCGAACATACTCGAAGCCTTTGCCCTCCAGAGAAGTTTTGATGGACACAAAGCAACAAAATACATTATGCATGTACGAGGAGCAGTGCAGCACAAGGCAAAGTCTATCTCGTATCGGTAGATTATCAGTAACACCTTCACAGAGCTACACAACCAAAACCTCTAAAGGTGCTTTCACAGGTACCTCTCATAGCAGTTAACCTATCTTCAAGGGCAAACAAGGTCACTTGGCACTCAACTTCCCAAACACCGCTGTCTAAACTTTAACTCACCTGCCCAGAATGTAAGAACTTACTTCCTTTTTTTTGTCCCTCCATTGCTCATATGCAAGCAATCAGAAATTATTCAAAATCTAAAGTTGTATGCATATTGACAATAGCTCCTTATTTCAAGAAAAGTAGTCTTCTCCCCAGCACCATGTATAATATACTAATAAAAAAAACCAAACCCAAAACTTACTTCTTCCAGGTTTGCGAACCTCTTTCATCACTTTTATTTTGGTATCAGCATTGCTTCCCTCCAACATCATCGGTGTTATTTTAAATGAATTTGGCACAGATTCAGAAGTAGACTCCATCGCCCGTTTTTGGTCATCTCCAGTCACACTGTAATTTAGAGGCCCTCGAACAAGTGCGTTGGTTCCAGGTTTATGATCCAACTCATCTTCACTTAAACAATTGAATTCAACAGGTAGAGAGTCCAAGTCATTGGGCAACATTTCATCCTCTCCCATAGCAGCTGGAACCGAAGGAGCCATTTGCCCAGGTAAGCCATCAATTTGCTTTTCCAGTGACTGACAATTTTCTGCTTTCTTCTCTCCATTGCCATCTTGGACAACACTGTTATTAGTATCTACAAATGAAAAATATGTACCTTACTAGTGCATAAATGCAGCATCAAAAAAAACCAAAGGAAATAGTTCTGTATCCTTTCCTGTTTGAAGTACTGTGTAGTGATCTGACAGTGCTGAACAACTCTCCAATACTTTTATTCAACCTTTGATGTGACTAAGGGAATACTTCCTTTTGGACTGTTACCATCTCATATCCCTGTTAAGAAGTCACCATTTTCTGTATTCCTGTTGCAGTGTTATGACTTCTAAGTAAACTAATGTTTTCCTTCCTTCCCCCAATTCCAGCTAACAGTTTTCTTCTGATTCCAATTGCTGCAATAGGTGGGTAAGAAAATTAGTTTTTGTGGGAAATGAAAATGTAACCATATTTTATTTTTCCTTCCCCACCACAGAATACACAAGTAAGAATTAAAAGCTGATCTAAAATCCTTGCTACCTCCAAGCTACTTTGGCAAAAGGTTTCAGTTTGGGGTTTTTTTTTTAAAAAAAAAATTCATCAGAATTATTTTTATTCCAGACTTCATTAGCTATAGCAGCAGACTGTTCATCTAGGCCAACAAAAGAAACTCAGTCCTAATTAACTCTAAAGCATACGTACATGCTGACACACCCTCCTGAATCAACTCAGAAAGCACAGAGAGTCGTGACCACGCAGGCTGCTGTACCACAACCCAATATACCTTTATTTGCTGGGACGCCTTTGAGGTTCAGATACGATGGGGATCCAGAAGCAGACGGTGGCCCTTTCCCACCTACATGATTCGTTACGACGGGTGGTGACTGCGGCCGTCTCAACAGCGGTGACATGCTACGCCTCCTCTTTAGTGACGCTGGAGTATTGGGCTCTCCAGGACGCTTTACCTTATTCTGAGGCCCAGCGACAAATTCATCTGCTTCATCAATCATCATACCCTGAAAAGAAAAAAGATAATTTTAAAAACCAGTCCAAATAGAAATAGTTTCATGAATTCACTGATGAGTAAGTCCCTCTATGTTAAAATTCAGGTGCCTTTCAAAACACTTTACAGCTCTCAGAACAGAGATGCTTAACGCACACTGTAACCAGAGACAGACCAGTGCCACTCTGCAAATCAGCATGATTCTTTACACATTTCTCTTGGATCACGTGAAAGACACCACTCCTTTAGCACATGAAAGAAGAGCTACACAGGTTAGCAACATACTGCAGGTGTTGGGAGAGAAATTCTACGTTAAATATAAAGATACAGTAGATAGCATGGCTCCTCGTACCTTCTTATCCTGTTTAAATGGATTGCCAAACGTATGAAGTCTTTTTGGTTGATCTGGGTCAATCTCCCGAAGGGGTGAAGGCATCATTTTCAAGTATTCCTGGTAATTTCCCATTTGAGCAACAGGAACACTATGAAGGCAGTCTGCAACAGAACAGGACATCTTAATTTAGTCTGCCTTGAAACTAAGGCAATACAAACTTCGTACACTTCAGCTCTTAAGCGTGTGCAGAACTAGAAATGATTAAGAACTAGAAATTAGTATTTCTTTTCACGACGGAAGAAGAGTTGAAGACTGCAATTTTAGAAATAAGGCTGGCGAGAGCTGAGCTTAACTGACAGAAGAAGAATGAAAAATAAGCAAGTTTAATCTCTGTGCTAACAACTGCATCTTTAGACCCTCAACACCCAACAATAGTAAAATAAAATAAGCCCCTCTCTGCTTTAAGCCACCATCACCACAAAAAACATCTACTGAACCTTACTGTACAGGAAAGCTCTCCCATGAAACTTGGTTTTTTAAATTCAAAACAAGCATGACATCTTGCATGACAGAAGGTAAAAATTTCCTTCTTTCCCTTTTAGAGTCAAGAAAAGGGCACTGCCTGACTCAATAAATGATGCAATGTCCACTTCTGCTCCCACACCCAGGACAGAAAACACTACTTCAGGGAATAAAAAAAAAATAAATAGCTGTACTCTCTCCAAACTGTTCGTGAAGAAAAGTGGCTACTTACCTTCATCCTGCCCCAAGATAAGCCTGTGTGTTTTCAGAAGATTGGTTCTCATTCTAGTTAGCTGGTCTAGAAGACTGCGACGAGGAATATCATATGCATTTCTGAATGCCTGTGGCTTCAAATCCTAGTTTTATAACAAAACAAATACTTTTATAACAAAACAAATACTTTATAACAAAACAAAACAATATGTTAACTATTAAAAAAAAATATTCTGAAGTGACTTCAGAGCTTCATAACTGGACAGAGCAGACTCAACGATTGCCTTTTCAACAAGACCTTATTCAGCACTAGCGCTTTCAGCTCCATTAGGACTAAGCATGTTAATTCCTGGATGAACACCACTAGCTGTCTTTTGCTAGAGATTGCCACTTAAAACACACGTATCTTTGTTTACTACCATGGGATTTTCAAACAGTGTCCCAAAAGCAAGCGCAAAAAATTGCATTTACTCTTCTTGCTATTTATGCCTATGCTGCATTCTTCACAATTCAGTGGAAGTACTTACTTCCTTCTTCTACACTAATTCCAAAAAAGTTACCCATTTAAACAGATGAGATCAACAGCTTAATCATGCAAGATTAGTACGCTGTTTACCTTGTTTAAAAGTCCTATGTGGAAGCCAGCAAATTCTTTAACATTCATTTCCGCCAGTCTCAGTGGAGATTCCCCAGTGATGCCTTGCAGCAGTTGCTTAAAATCCCTACTGTGTACCAAGGAGAGGCCACTGGAGTGATTTTTCACTTTTATTCCAATTTCTTGTGGAACTTTCTTACCCACTGAACCTATTATCCGTTCCGACTCTATTTTTGTCTAAAATGGAATCACACCATGAGTTAAAGAATCAGGCATTGCAGATTTCCATTATAAAACACATAGCACATTAACAGAATAAAACTATAAATTTAGTTCCCAACTACTCAACAAACGGGAGAACTACCTACCCAGGGATATATTGAATTACATAGATTAGATCTCAAGTAGAAAGAAATCCTAATGTGCTAGCATATGGAAAAACTATTTAGCCAGTGTATCTAAATTTATCTATCGGTAGGAGGTCTGTGAATATCCCTGATTTTGCTGCAAGTCTTGTGACTTTCTTTTGTGTCCCTGAAGAATCATCTTTAAAGGGAAAGAAAAAAAAATAATGGAAGGTGGGATGCCTTAGGTTACTGTAAAGTTGCATCTAAACCAGTATTATTCAAATACAGTAACATCATTCTAGACGTCGTTTTTGAAACAACCTATGAACTAAGGTTTGCACTATACGTTTGCAAGAAGGTAAGGGAGAGAAGTTGTAAAAGAAATTTGCTTCATCAGTAAGTTTCTCAAAACACGTTACTTCTCCAATTAGCACAGATCTCTTATTACAGCTACAGGTAATTTTACTATATTAAGCTTTAACTGTATACAAAGCAAGACCCACTTGCAATACCTCCGAAAAACCCCAACCAACCAGAACCCCAAACCCCACGGTGATTGCAACCCACATCCCCCAGGTCTCATCCTCTGCAGGGTTTGCTTCATTAGCTGTGGGGAACTCTGAATTTAAGGACAGCAGGAGCACAGCAGAAATCTGAAATTGCTTGTCCCTACACAGGGGCGTATAATGCATCCAACACATTTAAACTGTTTCATGTGCTGAGAACGCCTGTGAAAACCACAGTAGCCATCTCAAGCCATTTCAACTCCATATTGCAGATAAATAATATGAATTTGCATATCACTATGTTTCCAAAATGCCACAGGAAGTTTTATGTCTAATGCTCAGTCATTCAGAGGCTTTTGGAATGTATTTTGTGCATTCTTTAAGGAGGAGGATTTTTTCTCTGTAATTTTAAAGGCTGCACGCACTGCTTCCCCACTGACTTCTATATATTACACTACTGTTGTCAGAACCGTCCGTGCTAAGGAGGCATGGCTTTCAGACAGTTACACCTGAAACAGCATTCTTGACAAAGAGAAAAAGATACGTAAGACTACTTCCCACCAGGTCACGCTTAACACATAGAATGGATTTGACCTGAAGGAAACAGAAAGCTTAGATATAAAGCTTGAACTATAACTTTAATCCCTGTGGATAAGAACATACGCTTTTTTGGAACATACACATTGCCAAGGCACACATGGAAATAAACATGACACTGAGAGCAAGCCTCTGACTTCAGCTGTGAAGAACAATGGCAAAAGCAGTCATAAATCCAATTAGCGATAACCTTTGGAGTTTAAAGGTCTAGCAGATACTTAAAGCGTAGCTGAAGAGGTCTCCTTCGCACTCCCCTCCACCACTTACAGAAGGCACAATCACTGGCTACAGAATCGCTCTGGATTCATCCATATTTGCAGTGGAAATGCTCACCAATCTTCAATTATAATATACGCTGTACACCCATATGAACTCCCACAGGGATTAACTGCTTTATAATGAGATTACCACAAACTAAATAATCAACGCACTTCTAATTGCAAAGGTTTTATCAATACTACCTGTTGGCTGAGTTTTTTAAGGTAAGAGATAACACTGTAACTAAGTCCACAATCTAAATTATCTGATATCAGATTTGGAGCTCCCATCATCCTTAGGGCTTTCTTTAATGGCTATAAGGAAAACAAAATACACAATAGTAAGAGAATAAGTCTTTAAAAAAAAAATTTATAAGATCAATTACAGGAAGCTAAGGCACACGGATTAGTGCTCTAGCTTTTCCACTTTTGGCCACTAAAATTCAAGTCTATCCAGATAACATGTGACATGAGTTTGGTAGTCTAACTAGCTCGCAATGGACGTTATGCCACATTACCAAGACACCACTCGGTGTGGTGCCACTGGCAATTTCCACTCGAAGGCTCAGTACCAGAATAGCCGGGATGATGCAAGTCCATATTGAGGTGCATTGTCCAAGCTACATGTAAAAGGTGACACGGTGCCTCCCCCCACCCTTTATTTGGCCCAGCCAGTTCTCTTAGTATCAGCTTCCCAAGTTCTAGCGCTTCACCCACATAATTAAACAGACAAATCTGCATTTTCCTTATGAAGTTACAAAAAAAAATGCCAAATTGGGTTTCTCTGAACAATCTAAAGTACTTTAGATCAAAGCTTATTTAATATTAAACAAACAGAAAACACATTTAATATCTTAATATAGTTACTATTACTCAGTACTAGTAGAAATTTATTTATCTCTTAAAAATGTTTGACCTGATCCACATACCTCTGCAAAGCAAAATGTTTACTACCTAAAATGTCATCATAATTAGGTAAACAAAATTTACTAGGAAGAGGTATGATGCACACGACCCTGGTCACACCAGCCATTCTACCCCGGAGGATGAAACGAGAAAAGGAACATACCAGTAAGTAGTAAGGAGGCATTGTTTTTAAGTAGTTGTCAAAAGCCTGTCGCCACTTCAGATTTGGCTTAAGTTTGTGAACCTTAAACAAGTCATCTGCAAGAAGGAAAACAACAAAAGAAGGTTTAATTTATATAGTCCCAGACCATTAGTATTATCCAAAATTCAACGTGCCAGGTTTCCCCCCCCTTTTCTTCTCCCTCCACCCATCTCCCAATGGGGCTTCCCCACGAAAACTGTTCTTAACCTTAGGTTTGAAGGATTGTGACCCCCAGTCCTAGCTGCAGTAGACAATCCAGCACAAGTCCTCATTATAGGCAAACTTACAAGGTACACCAGACTTAAACACTGCACGCAACTACTAGCAGCATGGAAGGTGCAACAGATCCACCTGTTAAGAGTGTCACCTCCCTTGCCTCTCTCTTGCATCGTCAGGGACTGCCTGTATCTGATTAAACCAAACAGCATTCATTTGGTTCAATTTCCATTTTCAGCCCAGCTTTCTCTTGTTCAACCTGTACGATGAATTCTGGTCTCCAATAAAAAACCAAAAACATTCTCGGGCATCAAAGGGAAAGGAAAAAAGAAAGTCAGAACAGGGAATCTTTCTGGTCAGCTTTGCGGGACTCTGCGGACAAGAGCAGGAGCTGTTGAGAAGGGATGTACCTCCAGCCACACTGCCTGCCTCGTGCCAGGGCAGCAAACTCTCCCACACATCCAGACAAGAGACAGGAATTAGCTAGAAAAACTGCTGCCCTTTAAGAGAAGGGCAACCAGACAGATTATTTCCTTTGGATACTGTTTTAGAAATACCTTGCTTGCATTAGAGGTGTGCCCATTGCCGTTAAGGAATCACGGAGTTGAAGCCAGTACCTATTTGCCATGCACGCTATAAACTATATAAACCTCTAAACATCAAACCCAAACATAGTATGCTGCAACGTACCATTTGAAATTACGGATTATCAACTGAGATCAAGTTTTTCCTTAGTAGGGCTGTAACACACAGGCAAAGTGAGGCTAACGGAAGGATATGCGGGACTGGAGAAAGGGATGTTCAAAAATTAGCTGGGGAGAGCTGCAGGAGACAGAGATGCACAGAAGAGGGTGTGCGAAAGACAGATGCAGCAAGGAAATTGTTTTCTCCAGATTGAGCTTTCAGGAAGATATATTTGGAGTAGAAAATTTGACTTCCATAGTGTTCTGCACAAATCGAACAGATGTTAAGATACAATTTTCCAAGTTCTCATAGTCAAACCACACTTAATTACAGGTATTTTCCAATCTAAATGAATTCTGTATCACATATAAAAGCCACACTACAGACGCTAACTGTTCTCTTTCATGGCCTGAAGGAAACAGGGTGGAGTTTGAGAGGACAAGTTAGAACTCCATTTAAAATCTCAATGTACCACATGCTTAGCACTATTATCCAAAAGAACCTGTGATGGTATCATGACATATGGCAAATATAAAATAACATCTGTTCTTATCTTACAAGCCTATTAGGTTTTTGCAGCAAAACAGAAGTTAAACTATACCCCCTCCCAAAATTCAAAATGAGAAAAAAAAAATTAGAGGTGTAAAATGTTTGGTATCATGGTATGTCCTAATATTTTAAAGTCTATGAGTTGGTTATGAGTACAGCTTGAACCTTAAACGCCTTATCAGCACTTTATCACTGCCTCCCATCCTGCACTGTGAAGGCTGTACCAGTACATAACCCCTGCAGTTTGACTGCACAGCCACTCTTAAATGGCACAGACATTGATGACGCTCGGTTAGCTACCGTTCTTAATCCACAGCCCAGCTGTAGCCTGAGAGGTCAAATGCAAAAGCACCTCCCTGATCTTTGCTACCCAACTAAGAAGGTCTCAAATCTAAGCAGAGCTTCAGCAAAGATTTGTCTATGTAAAATGAGAGCCTCCCCACAGCACCAGGTGACTGCAGGAACTCCTACCCTCCAAAAGGAAGACAGTTGTGGTGGTAAACACAGCCACAAGTTCCAGAGAACATCACCATCAGCATCTTACCTGGCTCTATCGCAAGAGTTTGAGACATACACCGTCAGCAGATTGCAACACAGGCACTTGAAATGTACTTTTCCCACTGTGCCCTGGGCTGCACATAATCATTTATATAAATAAGCAAACAAACAGTAACCCAGTTAACTGTGTCTTTCATAGATTAAATCCCAAACTTTTGTAGAGAAAATCCAAAAGTATTGAAAATATCCTTTAGTAAGTTAGTTTTAATCCAACCTATTCATTTTCAGAGAATACTCTCTGTATAGGCCATTTCATGCAGAATTCTTTTTACTTCTAAACTCAGAGGAAACTAAAAGCACTGGATAATTCGAAATGTATTAAAAGCCACTAGGAAAGGGCCACAAGCTGCAACAACTCAAGACATCAGGTAAAACTACAGACAGACCAGTTAATTTAAAACTGTGTTGCAAAGTCTTTATCCACTTCAGATTAATGTACAGAACAACCAAGTTGTGACAAACAGGATACCAACACACACCCTTAATACCCAGTACTACAGAAGGGGGCTTGATGCGCTTTCAAGCTCAATGAACAGTAAAACAAAACAAAACAAAAACGTATGAGAGAGAGAGAATGGTCAACAGGTAATTTTAGTAGTTCAGCTGGAGCCTAATTACAAGAATAGTTCATGTGACAACAGTCTAGTTGTAAGTGACAGCTTGCACCACATAACCCAGAGCAAAAACCTGCACTTTTATTTAAAAAAAAATTACCCCTTGCATTAAATTACATCTGAGCAAGTACACCACCATTCCCTGCTGACTCCTGTTATTCCCCGAGCTTTCTAATGCCTCTGCACTAATAGACAGACTCCTTTGTTTTAAGCAGTAGAGACTCATGATTTTACATTAAAGCAGCATCCTTCCCTGCAAACAATCTAGCCAAAAAATAAGGCACTACAATGTAAAACAGTATCAATCATTTAAAAAAAAAAAAAAAAAGGTATTGTGGCACTCTCTTTCCATTGATACAAAATGTCTGGCACTCCCTCCCAGTGCCACAGCTTGCTACGTTCATATGTGTGAGAAAAACAACCCTTGGTTTCCAAAATACAAAACCATTACTCGCAGGTTCTCTCAAGGAGCCTGCAAAAGCATCAAAGGAAACTGTCCGTGTTGAAGTCCCTCGCAGGCAGACATCTTCTAACTGCTCAGTCTTCTCCATATTTAGACCCAGACAGAAAGGCTATTAAGCACCTTCTCAGGGTATTTTCACCATGGCTGTTTGACTACCGTGTCTCCTGACACTCCCAATGGATAATCGCTCCGATTGCCCAGCAGCGCCTGCCCTCCCTAAGGCAGCTCAGATCAGCCAAGGAAGCACCTTACACAAAGCAGGAGCAGTCAGGGGGACACCTCACCTGTGCTAAGCTCTCTCTCTAACCCCTCGTTTGACCTGGCCGTACAATTGTTTTTTAAACAGAAGAACGCCTGAAGTACAATAGCTTTGCTAATATCAGTTAACAGCAACAATCCTTCGAGAAGAAATTTCTATAATCCATAAGCACAACATATTCAGCATCAAAGCACGTCAGCACCTATCTGTGAAACGTTCTGTCTTCAGAAGTCTGCCTCACACTCAACAACAAAAAAAAAAGACAAGAGGAGAAGTGCAGCCCACCACCTCAGGCTCACCACGATGCCTCTCCAGCCTTTCCCATGAGAACAAAAAGCTGCTCAGCTGCGACGGCACATCCCACATGGTCTGTCTTACCTCTGTAAAAGATCTAGAGACCACAGTTTTTGGCAGACCTACCTAGTGCAGGGGTCAGGTTAACACAGGGACTGTGCAGCTTCACTGTTTTATGAAGTCTCATTAATTGGCTCCTTTCCTTACAAAGCTTCACATTCGAACAGCAGACCCGATAAGTTACAAGCTAGGAGAGGCTACAGCATTCCCAAAGCCACTCTCGCGAAAAACGAGATATAAATCACCATGTCTATTGGATGTGGTACAATTTACCTCCTTCGGTCACAGACCACTACACAGTTTTCCAAAACAGAACTATAACTTCTCCTGCTCAAGAACGCAGGCGGAATACAAAACCGCAAGAAAAAAAAATTCTTACGCTATCTTCTTGCTATCTATTTATAAGGCTGAACACACAGAAGCCACTTGGTAAGACAGCACAAATAATAAAGTTGTAAAGCGGTTTTGGCTTTGTCTGAAAGAGTCACTAGAAGGAAGGGAGAGTGATTATCCACCATACTATCCCAAGATAATTCCAGTCCTGCAACAAAATATTCTACTAGTACGGCAGTAGCCACCAGAACCACATTGATGCACCAATATGGGGGGTAGTGGCTCAATACAGACTTCTCCTGGGCTTGGAAGTTCTCACATCCTTTTTAATCTGGGCGAGAGTAATGAAAGATTTGTTTTATACCCTCAAATCAATCTTCTACGGAACCACCAGTAGCCACTATTAGTACGCATTAAGACAGACACGGCGGGGGATGTGAGTGTGTGTGTTAAAAACAGAAACAAATCCTACCTACCTACAGAGACAAACAGTCAGTTTTTAAAACATCTACAAATAATTGACAGGTATGCTTCTTATCATCTTAGTCATTTAATGTACTGCTAACTAAAAAAGGGGCCAGATCTGCTTTCGTGTTTTATATATATTCCACTGAACTTAATTCCACCATGCCTTAGAGACGGAGGATAAACAAAGTCCTGGAACAAGAGCTGAACATAACACTTTGTGTACGTGTTTGTGTTGACAATACGGAATGCACAGTATTTGCGTTCTAGAGAAAACATCCGCTTTACAGCTCAGGCGACGTGGAAGCTCTGCATTTTCCTTCAAACAGCCTTCAGAAATTTAAGATGTGGGATACCAGGTGAATAAACTGCAGAATAGCACTACACATACTGAATAACACCTTTCCCCAAAGAGTAGGAAGAGCTTTACACCCCTGCAAAAAAAAGGCAGGGGGAAGACAAGAGCTGCCAGGGAAGACACAGCAGAATTGCAAATGTCAACATCAAAATGAACAGGGAAATTAATTTGGTATCAGCGATGGCTTTTCAGCTAGTGGATCTGCTGCAGTAATTCAGTAGCCACGAACTCGCAGAAACTCTTATTTAGTCTAGAAGTATCCTACTTTGGGACAATTATTAGACCACATGGATGACTATGTAAGACTCATTCAAATTATCAGCAAGCACAAATTTCGTTTTTGGTTATGACCAGGACTACGAAAAAGCATTCTTGAATTGTGTTGTGGATTGTTTCTAGGAATGAATGGAAAAATCCTGTGCAAGACAGTAAGAGTCAATGTTAATTCTCTTGATCTCCACGGCTATTCTGTATCACTAAACACACCTACAAAAAACAGACCAGAAGCGCCTTGCAGCATCTGCAACTAAAAGGGTTAGTAGCACCCAGGAAACTCTTCTCTCTGCCATTACCTTTATGCCAGAACCCTAACAGCCACAATTATTATGGCAGTTATTCACACAGCACCTTTTCATATCGTCTTTCCTGTAGAAAGTAATTTCATTGTGGGAGTGGAAAAAAAAACCAAAACGCACACTGGTCCTTTGGGCAGGGAAGAAGCGTAGACTGTTTCACTGCTCACTTCCTTCTTACTGCTCTAAACTGCGTCAGGGAATTCCCTCTTCCCAACACCCATGACAAACACTGCATCTGATCTTCCAGTAAAAAAATTAGCTGCTACAAGAGCAACTGCGAAACCTGGATACACCACACCCTAAATGAGGGAAAAGAATGGAGGTTGAAGCTTACTCCAGGTTAAGGAAGAGGCTACGTGTCTAGGAGGTGAACAGCATCAAACATGCACTGGAAGCAGGTAGCTCTCCTCCTCTGCTGGAGAGAAAAAAAGGGAGAGGGGGTATGAAAATCCTCTCCTCCCAAATTATGTTAAAGAGTTTGCAACATTCTCTACTCTCTGATCTCCATTACTTTATAATGTCTCAAACTAAGGCAGAACACCAACCATTATTGTTTTTCTTTTACTCTGAAGTAGCTGCGTTGGCAGTCTAATGTAAATTTATTACCTACCTAACAGCGGAAGTAAAACAGGATAGTTGTAAGGCATCACAAAGAGGTTTACACAGGTTAAAGTAGTGCTTGCTTTTAAATACCCGAACGGGTGGCCAAGTTCGCTGTATTTTCCACTGCTACTCACAAATACCTGATAAAGAAAAAGAGATATCACAGTATTAGAAGAATGGGAAGAATATTAAGCATGCGGCATTTAAAATCTAAAATCAATCTGAATCCAATTGCATTAAGACAGTAAATTACCAACAGCCAAGTTTGAGGTTGCACACAGCAGGATGAGCATGCGCTTACACTGCCCTGTCAGAAAACTGAGACACACAATATTTAGTGTACCCCCAGTCAGTGTGGAAATGCTCTTCATACCATAATCTTTAGTGCTTTGGTGAAACTACTTTGCAGTAATGCTCTGAAAAGTTTTCGAAATGATTTAGAATAGGTTAGGGGACACCCGTTGAAGGTATGTTAAAAAACAATCTATTTGAAAATAGCCTTCTCATTCGTAAACCAGCATGACTAAAATTTACAACACTGATAAAAGAAATCTTTTTAATCATAGAAATTAAGCAAAATAAACAAATATTCAAGAAATGTCTTTTAATTATGCCGAGCGCCAACATTCTTAACAATGACTTTTGAAGTGTATATATATGGGGGTACTAAACTTAAAAAGAAATACATACAAACAACTATTTCAACAGGATAAAGATGGTAGACATTCTTATCGGGACAGTCAAAATAACACACATCTAACAAAAAATAGTTTTCCTAAAAAAAGTAAACCTTGCAGTAAAAAGGAAGTGGTTTTCCACTATTTTTTCAGAGCATAAGGAACAAGGTTTGTTATATGGTTTCTATGACTGTAAGACTATTTCTCCAGTTGTAAGGGTCTGATACGCAGCTGGGAGAAGAAAAGCAGATTTTTTTTTTAAAAACAGCAAAACAATTTTAATAACTTAGGCAAATAATGTACCTATGAACGCTTAAAGGACATTTTTGAAATTAGTTTATTCCAAGTAACTTTAATTTTTCTTCTGAAGCCATGTGTTATATTTTCAGCTAAATTGTAATATTTATTGGGAAACAAACATGAAAGAGACACCTCCAAACCCATCTTTCCAGCTAAAGTATAGTACTACGCAAACTCCCGCTATACATATTAAGTTATTCCTTATAAGAACACCATCGACAAGGGAACCACAAGCCTTATTTTACAGAGGATGCAGAAACAAGTCACCAATCCAAAAAAATCACAAAAGGAGCATGTGACAAAGGATTTCAGCAACAGAACTTTGACCTCTTCAAGGCCAATCTAGTCAACAAGATCAACAGCTTCCATTCAATTCACATTAGCAGCTTCAACCATCCAGTGGAAATTATTTGCAGCTGTTGATTAGGTAGCATGATGGAAACTAGTGCTAGTTTTTCCTTGTAAGCAAATGGAAGCCTACAGAGAATTTCAATTTAGATGAAAATGGAACCTGCGGGACACATTTCTTAGCAGAATGAGATGGACCTAGAAACAGAATTAAATGAGATTATAAAGCCTGTAGAGGGAACACTCATTCTGACTCCTGATAATTCTATTAGAAAGGAGGTAACGGAAACCTTGACACGTTTCTTCTCATCAACTGCAGAGTCTGCAACCAGACCCCAATTCTCCAGGCTCACAAAGACTAAAGTACCTTAGGATGCCCATTACCCTTCTAGAATCAAATAAAGGGGAAATACCTGCCAGCAGGTATGAGGAGACTTTCGTTCCAAGATGTACTGTGTTAAGGGTGAAGGCTCAAGCTCGTACTTGTCAAAAGGAAGCTTGTCTATTACCATTGGCTCACAATCCACACAGGAGAACCTCACAACAGGGTGAGCTGTGCGTGGAGGCTAAAAGGAAGGGGGGAAAAAACATATCAATTGTCTGGCATATATGGTAAACAAATCAATTCTCTTAAAAAGGTTCATATGCATGTATTTTACCATCCTATAGGCTTAAACTCTCATTTTCTACAATTTCCTCTAAGAGAGAAAAAGACACAAACTCCCACAATAGAATATAGATTAACTAACTAAATAATTCTCTAACTTAAAAAAAAAAAAAGCCACACATATGCACATACATTCTTCCCACAAGGAGAAAAATATGGTTAATTTCAACTATTTATCTTGATATTTAAAATCCTCCATGCCAATCAACCTATAACATCACAGATAGGTTTAAAGAAAAAAAAAAAAAACAAAACCAAACTTCAACTCCACTTCCCAGCTTGATGTTCACAGAATTATAGATGTGAAACTGTGCTTTACAAAGGATATCTCAAGATATTCCCTGCCAATTTTTTTTTTCCTCTTGAATCATGGGAGGGAAAAAAAAAACAGTACCTTGAGCACTTGCAAAGTACAGAAACAGAACATGCCTCACAAGAGAGAGATGTTCGGAAAGGCTAGTAAGACATGCCAAATATATGATCATCTCAGTAAGAAAAGTAGAAATGAATGCTGGTTTCCCCGCATTTTCTGAACGAGGTAACTCTTCTGTTTCAGTTTTAATTCTTCCAGCTAATGAAAGAAGAGTCCATACATAAAGTAATACTAAGCAGAGAAAACATGGTTGATTTATCAAAACCAATACTCCTTTTTCCATATAAATGCATTTGATAAAGCTTTGATTAAAATTGAATAGGCTCACTATGATTTGTGGTATGTGAAATAATTTTTAATTACATTTTATAATCTTTAAAAAAAAGATTTACCAAATTAACTAACCATATACATGGAAGTGAAACTTCCAGATGCAAAAAAATCACAGCATAGATTACCTACATTAGATTATACCATTCTGTATTAAAAACAGTTTTAACTAACCTTTTAGAGCAAAGGCAGATCATATTAGTAAACAGAGAAAGTAAAAAAAAAAACCACAACCCCAAACAACCCCAAACAACTACTTTATTATTCATTTTCAGTCTGTTTCATTAGTTGTAGAATCCTTTTTTCAGTTCTTATTTTACTTACCAGTGTTGGTGAATTCTGATCAGGCCAAAAAGATTCTGGGATTGGCCAATGCCCAACAGGAACACCAGTTTTAGGGTTAGGCCGTACATAAATGAGTTTATGACAACTATGCCACGGTTGAGAAGCAAATGAATTGATGGGCCTGGATGAATCAACAAGTCCATCTAAAATTTAAACAAAGCAAAATAACAACAAAAAAGAAAATAAAAACTACACGCATGCATATGTCTCCCAGCAAAATTTCTGTATTAGCAACCAATAAGGTGTTTCATTACAATTGTTTCAAAGTCATACAGATCTTTACATCGGTGGTTGAAAAGAACTTATACATCAAAATTTCAAACAGCATCATTGAGAAACAATGATAACACTTGCCCACATCTACCCTTGTGCTCCTGCAACATAGATAATTAGTGCAGCAAGGCATACGCTTAGTACTTTGACGTAGGTCTGACAGGCAACGTGAAGCCTATCACTTTTAGTCTGCTGCACCTGTAAAAACTGCTAATTTGCATTTACAGTCTTTCTGCCTGGGACGCAAAGCCTTCTGACTGATGCTGCCACCATTGGAAACTGGAAGCAAAGAAAAGTTTCACGGCAAAGTCAGATGCATCTTGCAGGAGCAGCTTTTGTCACATTTTTAATTAGTAAGAATTCACAGATCGTTTAAATCCCACTCTCTACTGGAAAAAACAGTGTTTTCTGCCAGTCCACTGCAGTGGAGCGGCACAGACCCCTTTACACTGAGGGCAAAAAAGTTCGTAGCAGTACCAAATCTCAGCATTAGTTTTCGAAGACTGCTCTTCAAAGCAAGTGGCACAGCAGAGAACACCCATTTAAAGAACCTTCTTCACTGTACGGGTATTCTACACTAGTAATTTTCCCTGCTTTAGACAGCTGGCCAGTAATACTACACAAAACACTTTTCAGATACGCATCAGTTTGATTTCCCTGCATTGCATACTCAGTGATTTTTCTAGCATTGTTAAATCCCACCAAATTTCCCTCTAGTTTAGGACTTTCTCAATTCACTTGAAGAGGGAAAGCCTCACTATTTTTGTACGTTCATATCCACAATGCATCACAACTTAAGTGTGACAAAAATAAAAAAATAAATAGAACAACAAATTTCACCAGCCTTTTTGCCACACAGAACATTTGGGCCAACAGAGACACAGGAATTTGCTGAGGTGCTGTCCCGCAGAACATTATAGGAAAGCCTTCCAATAAAATGGCATTTAAATAAGCAAAAGGAGAAAAAAAATATATATATACAGCAAGAAAAAGGTGATTCGAAATATGAAAGCAGGAATAAAGCTGGCTATGCTAGGATGCTCAGGGGATCCTAAAAGCTATTATGTTTCTGACATTCCAGGAACATCCTCATTTCCTAAACATGAAGTGGTCAGCGCTCTATCCTTCCGTTCAGCCATGAATTTCTGCAAATCTGAAAAACTGCTCCACGTTAAGAGTGCATTTTCCTCTTCCCTGTTACGCACTTCACTTGCGGCTAGCAAATTAATTCCTTGTTCTTTGCACACAGTTCTTCACTTGCAGCTAAGAATATTCAATTGAAACGGACTGTGTTGTGATCAATTAGCAGAATGAAAACATACAGAAAATTAAGCACTGAGATTACATCAGAGATGCTCAAGTGTTTAAATATGCTAGTCCTGGATTTAATTATTTTAAAACCAAGTTTTGACAACATTGTAATTCAAACTTCACTATTTCCTGCGAACATTCACTTTCCTCAGCCCCTCAAAAAAAGAGGTGAGAAAAGAGTGACAGGAGAGCTAGCAAGCAGGTAGATCATCCATACAAATACGTGCAAACAAATGGCACCATTTAATTTATCAAGGATCAAACTAACACTTGTAAAAATATAACAAAGACAAGACTAAACATAAATAAACATAAAACTACTCAAAAGCTACGATCAGCACATCCATTATGATTTGGGGTATTTGAAGAGATACCAGAGCTCTACCACTGAAGCATATGAGCTTTATAGCTTAATCGTTTTTTCAGAATGTATTAGGCATTCAATGCACCCAGTACACTACAGCAAAAAACTGGTAAGAAGGCCACCGAAGACACTTAAGGACACTTGCATGCATAGAAAACATTTCTTCTTGAACATTTTTGGGGGGGCCACAGACGACACACCAGTTACTATACCTTCTCCAATAGGAGCTGGATCCGGTCCCGACTTTTCAAAGTTAATAACAACTCCACTTTGGACTTTTTGAACTAGAGACTCTAAACATTGATTCAACATTCTTTGTGTCCGAACGCAGTAAGAACGACCTATGCAAGAGAGAGATTACACAGGGAAAATGGGAAAGCAAGTTTGAGTAATCATAAGGAACATGTTTTCTTACATAAGTCACACTGCCAAGGGTTTCAGTTTTATCCAAAATAATAGCAGCAAACTTCATACAAGTTTACGTAAAAGGCAAAATACTTTTTAAATGTAATACAACTAAGGGGAAAAAAACCCAACCTGCCGAGCTTTTCCTCAGTAAAAGAGGCCATTAAGTCTAAACCGGGCTGGTCCAAGGCCATGTTTATAAACACCCTTAAGAAGGTCTGATTTCACCAAGCCTACGTAACCTATCTGCTTTTGTCTACCCAACCCTTACCAACTCCTATACACTCCCAAACTTCCCCCTCCCACACAACATTTTTTCAAGCACCAATTCAAGAAAAGAACAGACTTCAGAATTAATTCTTTTAAGATTAAATTTAGCTTATTAGCCCTGCAGCAGAATTAACATCTTGATAACACTTGTCCCACTCAATTCAACATTTAAATAACTAATCTCATGCTGGAGCAAAGCCAACCTCTGGAAAGACAATCTAAGAAATTTTCCAATGCCTCCTACCGGTGCATTAAGAAAATTCTCTCCCATCTAGAAGATGTGAAATAAGAATATGGTTTTATTTTAAAGTTCTCCTGCGCTACTGGAAACCAAGCTCAGAAGATACCACACAGCTTCACATAGACATTGAGTAATTCAGATGGAGACCAAGAGGTGAAGTTGAATCAAAGGAAAAGAAATACTTTAAGGCAAATACCAAATATGAACCAAACCAAAGTAACATCCAGTTACCTCCTGTAACTTCACACATCTGCGTGATAGCAGATTCATCAGTAGGCACACTCCCAAGCTGCTCTGGTTCAGCAGATGCAGCTCCTGGCAAACGCAGCACTAGAGCAAACAGCCTTTGATCCCAACGAAATGGTTCTTTGGTTAGTTCACTTCCAGGCAAAGGAGAATTCAAAGGAAGATGAAGCTGGTAAAAAAAGATTTAAGCATATTTTCAAGTACTTGACAAACCAATACTCAAATGTATTCATTACTCTCCAAAGGACCCCATTTCTCTCCTATCCACTAACTTATCTAAAGTTATATTCTAGAAACCCATGTGAACTATGAATTTAGTGGTTGGGCAATGACAGCACAGCTAGTTCCTATTCTCTATCATACAACAGGTTGATGAAGCAGAAGTACTGTTAGCAGGAAAAAACAATTAATATTTATCTCAGCACAGCACCAACTAGTAAGATCATAACTTGACAGAATTTAATGCAAGTTTACCTCCTCTTGAACTCCAGCCGTATTTGTCAGTTTGTTTCCGTCTGTGATGGTAATCAAAATAGATGGCTCCAAAAAGAATGGATTCCTTCCCTAGAGATGAAAGCACAGGAATGCTAAGAGTAACCTTAACACTCAGTTACAGGCTTATATTCTTGTCATTATAAAATAAAACAGTAAGATAAGCAATCTCTCAAAATAATCCTGTAATTTTCTTTCAATGGTATGGAGTCTTACAGAACACAAGGTGTGGTACTCTGTGCGCACACACACATACTCTGAAGATTTTTAGAATTACTAGTTTCTTCCTCCAGTAATAATACAAAACCCATCTAGCTCACAAAAGCAGTATATAAATTGGTAACAATAGAGAGAACTCGGAATTTCATTACGACAGTGGGTCAAAAAAACAGAGTACTTTTAACTGCACTCTTCAGTTGTGGGAGAGGGGAAGTCAGGACATGAACTACAAATAACAAAACTGCAAAGCATATTCGCTGCCATCCAGTGTACATACTCCCATACAGCAACTGTGTGTCTACAGCTGGGGTCATTTTTACTACTGCTTTCTTTGTAGCTCAATAAGGAAAGAAGTGCTAGTGTATTCCTGGGTATGTTCAGTAGATGTAGTAAGAAAGAAAAAAAAAAAAAAAAAAAAAAAGGTTCAGAATTCCAAGTATTAACACACAGCTATCCAACATTAAAAAGAAAAAAAAGTAAAATGCAAAAACGAACTAGAACCACCAAAATCCCTCTCCCACTATCATTACAAAAAACAAAGAAAAATAAAAAAAGACAGAAGACTATAAACAGATTTGTTACCTGTCCATAGTTGTCTATTCCAGACACTAATCTATTGAGATTTAACAAGTCAAAAGATGACCTGAGTGCCTGACCAAGGGTTGTTAGTCCCGAAGCCTGAAGATTTTTTAGTTCATTCATAAACGTTGCGTGGTTTTCCTTCCATCCAGCCTATTAAATAAATGAAAAAAGCTTATAAGTTATTTTAGCAACACACTGCAATCAACTGTAAATTGTCATTTAGCTCCCTTCCCATCAAAAATTAGATTATATTCCTGATTAATGGATGTGCTGCATCATTTACATGCTACACACACCTAATCCATGTACACACAACTTAATGCAGGCTCAACTGTATGCTTCACAATGGGAGACCCACAAGACACACGCACTGTCAAGCATTCAAAAAAATGCGTGAATACCCAACTCTGACCATCAAAACTGCTGTAGAGGTGATGCAATTAATAGAAGTATTTGGATTAAGTATGTGAATATTTTATTAGATTAAACTGTCGAATTCAGAGATCAGAAATGCAGCTGTCACAGTAATAGCAATGATAAAACAAAGATAGAAGCAGCATAATATTGCTGCTTCTTCTGACATATAACCATCCTTTTTTCATTCTTTCCTCCATAAATCGAGGCTGGAAGGAAAGAAAGGATGTACTTGCAGTATGTACTAACACAGGAGTCAAAAATCTAACAGCAACAGTTAAAAAGAAGAAAGATAAAGAAGTAATAGAAACAGTGACTACCATCTTTGTTCCCTAGTCGCATCCTCCCCTTCCCACCATTTCCCCAAGTAGGAAGCAAGCAAGCATATCAATTTAGTAGAAGGAATATTTAAAAAAAAAGTAATAATCAGCTATTTTTAATATTACATGACTCTTGCTCAACTTTTCCATTTCTCTTGTACTTCCTCCCAGCCCAGCCCCTGCCTCTTAACGTAATATCAAGCACCCTCTGTCACTTTGGCGTTACAATCCCCTGCCTTTCTCCTACCTGGGTATTCCAACTGCCAGCCCTCTCACTGCACCCTTTGGCCCTTACTTCCCAACATGAAACTTTCTGTGGAGTACCTGCAAACACTCCGTGTAACGCAGAACCAAAACACTGTTTAGAGAGTCTCGGTATCACAGCCCGAAATTTTGGAGGTCATGAAAAAAGTCGTTACTGCTGACAAACCCTGCAGAACATTCAGAGGAACAGCAAAAAGAGGTGAGGATGGATCAGTCCTGCCTGATGTGACAGGGCTAACACTCCTCAGCATCAGCTGTGATTCACATGCTCTTCTCTTAAACAGCGGTATGCTGCAGAGTTTGGAAGCTATTTCAGAAAACACTAGCTCACAGGGAATCGGTGTAACATTTAAGCTGCCTCAACTAAAACAAGCAAAGCTTGAAAACTCCAGAAATTCATGCAATTATCAGCCTTGCTAACGCACCTTACTCTCCGAACCATTCTTGCAGTAAGCAAGCAGTTATTCACCCAGGCTCCCTATCATCTGGCACCGCAGACGTTCCTGTGCTCCACAAGGAACCCTAGTTAGGCCGACACGGAGAGAGTCATTTCAGACAGTCAGACTTTTGCCGGGACAACCTCCGAGTAGGTTCTCTCCTCCTCACCGCACCGGGCTCAGCAGCAACCACCTGCCGACTATGCCATGCTGTGCAAGAACCTGAGAGGACAGGATTTTCTTGTACTTTTTTGAACAGGTACATCCCACTGCCGATCTCTACTGCAGGCCACCGGATTGACGAGTTTAGATCCATAAATGAATACAAGAATGGAGTAGAAAGGAAGGGCACGAGACGATCAATGCCTCCGCTGAGTTCTCAGCCCCAAGCTAGGAGGGCTTCTTTGCAGAACGAGGAATTAATCATAACGAAATTCAACAAAAACTGTTTTTAGTCAAGTTTAGCTCCCTGAACCAGTTCTTCAAGCTTTAGATTAGTGCAAGGGAGACAGAGAAAACTCTGCAAAGGGGCAAAGACAGAACAGACTTACAGCAGGACTGGCCTGGCTCTCTCACTAAATTGCACTTGAAGCTCAAAGGAGCAGTGTAGTTCCACCAGCCGGGTAATCCTCAATAAAACACCACCAACACCCCCCCCAACCGCAGCGAACAAAATACGGCGTCTCACCAGCAGAGCCACCATCTCCCCACGTGCTCGCAGCCCAAGGCAAGGATAAAGTACAAACACAGGGTCATTGCTTTGGAGTAAAAGTGACTTAATGATCTTCCCCCCCCCCCAGAGTAAAAGAACACCAAATCCCAACAAGATGATTTCTGTTACCCTAAAAAAGTTGGCCTTAAAACAAATAAATTGAACAATTACTAAAATCTTCCTGTATGAATTCTGTGAACCCTTAGATGTAGGTGAAAAGGTGTTTTCCGGCAAAGACTGCTGTTTGAGTTAATTTGTTGCAAAAGCACATGGTGGGGGGTAATAAAACATTTACAAAGGAAACACTATTCCCAGCCTACAACTTAAATGATTTTAAGAGTGTTTCTTCCTGAAATAAACAGTAACAATCTTCGGTGATATTAGGAGATCCTGCTATTTTCCTTTTCTGAGCACATGTGCGCAGTTTCCAGCTCCTGCTGTGTTTGCTCTAGCTGCAGTGCGGTCAGCTGCCTGCAAAATACCCTCCCATTTCCCCCCTGCATCACCAAGGAAGCTGGAGGTACGAGGAGCAGCTGGTCGCCACTGGTTTGCCTTCACAGAAAGTCATTTTTCATCTTGCAGCCTCTCACAGGATCTTGCAAGATAAAGCTGAGGAGAGCTGTACCTTTTAAATAAACACAGTACTACTGAAGAACTTCTCATTCAGTGAACAAGGGTGGCAAATGCAAGATTTCCTAATTCCATACCCAGTTTTAAACAAAGGTCTGATTAGTGGTGTACTACATTCCCTAGATTATCCTCAAGGAAGCTTTTTGAATCAAAACTAGCAAAATTAATGACAAGAAGTTCTACTTCTGTAAAATGTTTTTTTTCCAGAAAGACTCTAGCCAATGTATATGATTAATGTATTTCAGGGATGGAAACTAAACCCCCAAAGAACTCTGGATATTCTCTTCTCCATATATATGGTAGGATCCTTCTTAAGGCAAAATAAGAAGAGTCAAGTACGTAATACAGAGCATATGTATAATGAGTTCAACAAAGTACTTTAAAGTGATTAAATAATAATCCTTCCTCAATTCAAAATACTGCCACTAATGCTGCTTAGAAAAAAAGCACTGCCTTTACGTAGCACTACTTCCATTTGCCAACAGAAACACTAAATGACCAAAAAAACCCCCTCACCAACCAAAAAAACATCCAAAACCCCTCAACCTTAGAGGGCCAAACACAAACATATTCTACAAAACATATGTATTCTCTACAGGTCAGTAGTTATGAAGTCAGAACTAAACATTAATTATTTTAGTTGCTTATGAACCAACTCTAACATCGTGAGTAATTTCTCATCATCTTCAATATTACATTCCTACTTAGTCACTTTTATGCCCAGAATTTATTAATAGCAATCTGGGCAGCCTTTGTCTTGCCACTATGTTACTAGCTTCTCTTTTGATAATTTATATGAACAAATAAGTTTAGTCTGTATACACATACCAAGAGACTTTCAAAGATAGCTGGGAAAAAAACCCAAGTACTATGAGCAAAAATCTCATCCTGTTTGCCTATGCCAAGAACAGACAAAAATGCAGTGTCATTTAGCCTTCTGTGTTGACAACTGCAAGCTTTGGACACCATCCTATGAAACCCTGAGATTTGGAAGCAGCATACCACCTTCCAGCTCCTGGCTTCGGCCTTTGCAAGCAAATCATACTGAAAAAAAAAAAACCAACATACTTATAAAGTAACATTTTTTTCTGGTGACTTAGTTTTCAGGCAAATCCATGCCCTGCTCTATTTCACCATACAGCTACAGAAGCATTTCAGCTGCTTCAAGAAGCAGGTAAGGTCAAAATTGCTTTTTTCAGCAGCAGATAGGCCCAGATTATCTTGAATTCAGACAAACGTCAAGGTGAAAAACCTAGTGAAGAGGAGAAGGTTTTATTTACCCCAACCAGGACTAACTGGAACATCGGAAAGAATGCAGCTGAGCAGCAAAAGAAAGTCTCGTTCAGAATCAGGAGCTTAAAAAGACATCAGAGAAACAACAGAAGTAGATTTCCATTGCAAGAAGCAGGAAAAAACATCTGATAAAATGCTGGGGGGGTGGGGGGAACCACTACCTTTATCACACAAAAGAGAGCAATATCAAAGTATGAGTAAAACACTAAAACACTACCAAGTTTTGATTATGTGTAACACACATATTAATTTAATCTCAGCTACGCTAGCTTAACCGTCATATCGACTGGTTTTATTCTAGGTTGGTAGGTTGTTCGGTTTTGGGGGTTTTTAAACAATACGACATTTTTGGGCAGCACAGTTGTTTCCACCTATTCCCTAGCACAGTTTGGTCAGCCTACAGGGACGGACCCAGAAGTTGGGCATTAGAGCACAAGAATTCCAGGCGCAAAGCAGCCTCTCCTGATTTCACCAGCTCCATGAAATCCAGGGAGCTGCAAGTCTTCATCTTTAGTGTTTCTACAGGCAATGCCAAAAGACAAAACTGTAGTTTATCATTCACTGGATTGCTTTCAGTTTTGATTCAAAAATTGTAACATTACTAAAAATAATCTTCCAAGTAAGAAGACAATTTGCAATCTAGCATGCCAATCACAACAGTTTGTGTTACAGTAAGTACTCAATATTTATTTAAACATACAGATTTTTAGAGTTCTGCTAATGTTTCCCTAGAAAGAATCTGATTTTAGATATTACAACTTGTTTAAAGTATTTACGTTTCTCAATAATTCAAGCTATTATTAAATGGACCCATCTTAGGAAAACCAAGACTAGTTCAGGATAACATGCCTGTGGCGTGCTAGGTTGTCGGTCACATCCATTTGGAAAAAATAAGGTAAGAAAAAAATCCAGCTGTTGAAATCTGAAACCACTCCTGCTATGGAATTTCCAAGTACTGTGTGAAGACAGTGAAACCAGCAGAGCATTTTGCCTTCCAAATCATCAGAATGGTTACTTTTGAAGTTACCTTTCTGTTCACTGGTAACCGTACACACGACCACCACTCAAACCGGT